CACCTTATCATCTGTGACCATTACAATGTCTTCGTGACATAACGGCATGCTGCAGGTGGAAGTTCTGCACAAGCAGGATTTTCAGTAACGTCACCGTGTGTTCAAGACAGGCCGAAACGGGGTCGGCTATAAGCGCACCTGGAGCTTTTGGGCAACGATGACAAGGTTGTATTGCCCCATTTGGACCCATGTTCGTTCTTGGTGAGTATTCATGCGAAGCGAAGGAGGAGATGCCCCGCCGCAGCGGTCCAAACTTCAAACCGGATTTGGTGGCCACAGCGAATCAGCAACTGTTAGTGTTGTAAAACGGCTATCACAGAACATCGATATACAGATGCGGCTGAATCTTAATAATTGTATTCAAGGAACACAGCCTGTGATACGGTCCCCCTGGCTAACTCAAACGTCGTGTCAATCTGTCGATCACCAACGTAGTCCGATAAGTATCGGCCTTATGTCGCGTCTTTCGGGACGTCATCTCATCGACCTCTACAAAACGTCTCGATACTCTCGATTTCTAGCCACTACCACGCACCACGTGCTCAAGTATCGCCTCTTTACGATTATCAATCAGCCCTTACTTCGCGGCTTTGACACCGCTCCCGAATAACGCAAAAGATTACAACGTTCATCTAGCCTGTGGCAGATCTTTCCTCCAACGACTGCCGCTTGACGATGTGCGACTAGGTAGTGAAATGATTCTTACTCCTAGAGTCAAGATAACGTCACAATCCCCACTTCTAAGCTCGCCACTACGGGAACTTATCCCCGACGATGACCTAGACTAAAATCCCGCCTCAGCAGTAAAGCTCCACTTCGCACTGGGAGCCTGGGTTCAAAAGGCATGCAGTCAAAACTATGTTTTCCAATGTGCAAACGCTAAGGTAAGATGTGAATCAGATAGAGCGGCGAAACTGGGCACTATTCGCAAGACGTGCATCATATGTGCATCCGTGTATTGGAAACGATACGACAATAGGACATAGAGTGCCCAAGAATTCTGCATACCTGAATCGAGAAGTACGGAGCGGCAATAGAGATTTATGTATTTCATAACACTTCATCTTAGCCCGGCACTATCACATCATCATGCCCACTGGTATGAGAATTAAGACGACAGCATATTCGAACAAAGCATAGCCTTCAAACCAACGATATCATATCAAACAACATGCAGTACATGCTCAGACCCAGAAACGCTTGAAAACCCCGCGCAAGTAAGCTTACATGCGCCCGCTCCCCACACCGATCGTGCACTTCCCGCAAGAAACACCGCGAACCAATCAGCCATGAACGACTCACGATAAGCGAGACAGACAGCAACCTGAATCCAAGTCGAGGCCATCATCTTTTGCCAAGTCGCTCCACTGGAGAGAAAGATGACACGTCCTGACTGCTAGTTTTTTTTGGGGGGGGTGAGATGGCTGTATGGAATTGATGACATGGCTGGAGGTGCGAAACAGCAATCTTGTGGCTGCTTAGTAGTAGAGCGCGTAGATGGGTAGACGAATGGGCAGCTGGTGAGCTAGCCAGTCGGTTAGTATGTAAGGTTGATTGGAGTGGCGTGTATCAGCTACTTGAGGCGACTCGAGCTGAAAGAGATCCACGTCTTGAACACCAAGGTCCATTTCTCATCTAGGCCAACGCCACGGCGCACTCTAACGTTACTCGCAGTGTCTTGTCGTTCCGCAAATGGATGTGCAGTCCAGCGACTGCCTTTACGACAAGTATTGTTCTGTGTAGAAAGCGGACGGATGCAAGTATATTCGATGAGCAGGTTGTTCCACAAAGCAGCTCATCTACCTGCGAGCCAGCATGAGTCATGAAGCTGAGCAAGTAACGGGGAGTCCGACACGGAACTATTCCGTAGTCCTTACTAAGAAAACATCGGAGTGGGAATGCGAGATAGTAATCCGGGGTAATGTGGATACTGTACCGGGTACATGTGCATGTTTTACAATACATCAGCATTTCTTGGCAACCCTGTTGACTAAACATGGTAGGTCTTTGTCCGGGAGTCTAGATTTACGGGAGAGGAGCGACGTTGGGAGGCAGTCGAGCAAGTAAGCCCTAATGTTTGACGATAGTTGTGTTTCGTAAGAAGACAGGTATACCTACTTACCCCGTTCGACACGGAGTATCCAAAACATACTCTAGGGCATACCAATGTCTATGTTATTCAGGTCTCTCATCTGTAGTTCTAACGAATGTCTTTAGGGTGTTCTTTGGATTGAGGTATATGAGAAAACGTGAACTTGTTAGTAGTGCTAAGCAGCAGGCGGATGAGAACAGCATCACTAACCAAAGATGAATACAGAAACCAAAAAGACAGCGGACAATGGGAGTTTGAAATTACCCATAATGAAGGCGAAATGTAGGCTAAATTGCTTTCGCTTTGCTTACCGCCGCAGTGACCGAAACCAAACCGACCCAATTCAAGGGGTATTTCGCAACGCTATGCTTCCCGCTTCCCTACATAAAAAAACACACACAATCAAACTCTATCTAGAGTATCCCAGTACACAAATATAAAGCCAACAACCAAGACCGAAATAATACCCATTGTCAACAAAACGATATGTTGAGAGCCGCGTATGTACGCGAAAACAGGACGTGAATTCAGCAAGGTGATTTCAGGGGGTGCGCGACTGTAAGCAGGGGGTTGATCGTTTGCTTCAAGATCGACAGCACCGTCCTGCTGCTCAATATCGCTGTCCACGCCAGTAACCACGATCATAGGCGGAGTGCCAGGATCAGAAGGCGGGACAATATCGAAGGTATGATATGAATGGACGACTGGAGATGAAGTCCATGATGACACCTTGATGTGCGTCCGACGAGCTCTTGGTAAAAACCACTAAGTCTTGCCCTTCTCGTACTCCAGGTCGGCCTCCTGAAGTTCAGCCTCTAACTGTGCGCGTGCGTCTGGCGCTGGTGAACTCGAAGCGCCCCGTGAGCTCGACGGTCGTGATGCTAGTAGTGGGAGCTGGAGGCTCTCGGCGGCTTCGCTATTGTGTATCGATTTCTGGCGCTTGAGTGCAGGTTGCTCATTGTCAGAAGTAATTTCTACACCATCGGAAGGAGCTGCTGCAGTGGCGAGACCGAGTCGGTTTGCTTCGTCCGGATGCTGAGAGATCCACCGTTCGCACCATTGCTCACGGAGGACATCGTAGATGAAGAGAAACTGAACCTTGGACTGAACCATACCAGCTCGCTGGTCTCTGAGCATCTCGACAACCTTTAATATAGGATCTTCGTCGTCAGGTACATCGTCCAGTGCGCCCTCTTGGAGCTCCTGCATGAGCCAATCAAGCGCGATAAAGGTTCCGCTACGGCCGATACCTGCACTGCAGTGAACGATTCGTGGGTTGGTCGAATTGTCCGTGTTCTTGGACCGCGATATATCCACTAGCTTCAGCATACCAGCGCGATCGTCGCCTTCAGGCACGGAGAAATCAGGCCAGCCAGCAAAGAGCAGATGCCAGATTTTTTTCGACTCACTGCCATCATCTGTTGTCATGTCGATTTCCCTTACTTGTGTCCTAGCCTCTTCGTCTGTCGTGTACGAGGCTAGGTGGAGATTGTGTATGAAGCCGTCTTGAAACTCGTCGTGCTCGTTGATGCGCATATCTGGATTCGACAAGGATTGCGGGTAGTAGGGGTAGCATTTCTCTCGGTTCGCCTCGTGGGTCTGGGTCAGCATTACAATGACTGCGGGCGACTGGTTCTCCTTCCAGATCATGCGCCAGATGTGCGACCAGCTGTCTGCTTTGGGTCCTTGTGTTGCAATGTACTTGAGCTCCGTCGCAGACTTTGTCGTCTCGAGCACTATGGGCGAGGCATTGATGTAGTCGAAATGGCCGTCTGGCACCTCAAGGTGGACTCTGTTGGATTGGTATGGGTCAACGTTGATGTAGCGATTACGGTTGGCATAATCCTCGCCGAAGCACCTCGCCCACTTGGGAGCCTCTTCCGAAGCGCCGGCCTGGGTGCTGTCCCTCAGGCGCTCAACCTGGGCCATCTCCAAGCGATTCCATTTGGTGTGAATGTCCTTGGGCGACGTCAGGAAGGCGGGATACGGGACAGCATCGTGGCCATGTGCATGGCTTGTGGCTGGGGTGCTTGTGACGGACGAGTTGATGACGAGACTGCTGGTGCTTGCAGAGGGCGTGGTGGCGGCGGGCGTGTTGAGGGACGAGGGGGTGACTGATCGCGTGCTGTCCTTGCTACGGGAGCGCTTGGACGACGAGGGGGAAATGGGAACGCCGGCCGTGGCCATGGCTGGGTCGGTCCTGATGAGGACGCCCTTGAGCTTCGCCTTGCGCCGGAGGGCGCGGAGTTTATGCAGTTTGAAGAAGTTTGCGGTGCTGTGGTGGGATGATTCGGGTTCTGGCAATGGAGGGACAGGAAAGTTTGAAGACGGAATGGTGACGGGAGACGGTTAGGTGCAGGTCGTGGCGCGCCCAAGAAAGGAAAGATAGGCTGGAGAGTGGAGTGCGGCAGATGTTATGCCTCCACTGACACGTGTGCGACTACTCGTGGGGGTCCGGGGCCTCCCTAGGTCGATATCTGCTGCGATGGTAGTAGTGTGGTGTCCAAGAACCAGGTCGAGCGAAAGATGGTCTAGACGACGAGGGGCTGCAGGCGAGCCTCGTAGTGGAGCAGCTGGCGGGGGTGTCAGCGACGGATGGAAAAATGTAGCCGTGGGCCAGGTGATATACATGTCATGTCTGGAGCGCAGCACTTTGTAGCGCAGCAGAGGAAACAATTGCTAGAGCGGGGATCCACTTGCAAACGTCAGGCGCCGTCGTCGTGTCACAATTGCTGGCAGGCCCATTCCCTGTCCATCTGGTTGTTTCCGCGCCCTGCGTCCACCACACCCACCACACCCGCACGCCGTCGCCACCATCCTCCCTCGGCCAACAAACGCAACGCCTGCGTACACCTGCTACTTTGCCGTAGCAGCTACTGCCACCTGTGAATGTCACATTGAATACGCCATGGTTGCACCTTGGTTTGCTCTCTTCGAGGTATGTGCCATGTCCAAACGAAACAGACATATCAAACTGACAGCTCGGAACAGGCTTGGGCCGTCGCAAAGGCACGTCGATAATCCCTTTGCTGCCAAACACCGCTCCAGTTGCTGACTCTTCCAAGCTCATCCGATCCCCGGGATTTAATCGCGCCGTGCAAAAGGCCTATCGAAAGATCAACAGGCTGCCAGACTTTGAGCAGAAGAATGGCCAAGGCCGTATGTCTCTATCCCATCTGATAAAAATTGCGGCTATTAACACACTGTAGGGACGGGCCCATCATCGCTTGATCACTTCAAGGATGAGGTCAAGAATCAATTCCGGGAGCTCACATGGCAAAAGCGTCCTCCCAAGTGAAAGCGCCTTCGGTTCACGTCGCCCCCTCCACTCATTTCATCCACACATACGAAACGCATAACGGTTACGTTGCACACCCGCGCCACGTGGCAGCTGTCATGGCATGATATCGGAACACAACGGTCAAACGTTCTGCGGCAAGCGCCACCCACGAAACATGTAAACGATGGGGCGTCTTCGAGGAACAACGACACTAGAAGGCTGGAAAACACGTCTGCCAGACACGCAAATCCATGTGATGTCTGGGTGGGCTGAGCATGCAGTGCTCTTCATTCACTACATTTCCTGCTAGGTCGTATTGGGTTCACTTTGTTCTAGCCCGACAAGAGAACTGCTGGCTGTACTGAAACACACGGCAAAAGGAAACAACATCCATTTGGGGGTTGATGCACTGAATGTGTGAATATTGAGTTCGTGGGTTCATGTAGTCCTGCGTTGATCATGGTATTCTGCTACTGTCATATACTCTAATCCGACGACGCCAATCAAACTTCGCAGCGCTTTCTCTACAATACAAATATCCTCAGCCGACTCGAGTGGCTGCAAATTATCTATCAAGCATCCACCGAGCACCCTCCATGATGATTGGATCACGCGATTACAGTACACTTTTGTGACTGACACATTACCGCATCGATGCATGTCTTTGGATGGACTAGCCGGAGACGCATCACCATTTCAGATCTACTACCTCACCAAGTGGACGCTTATCCATGAGGTTGGGTTGTGACATACCTTCATGAAAGCATCCTTACGTCATGCATGGTCACAGTCACTCTCTTATAGCAGTACCTCAACCTAGACAACAACCAAAACATACAACAACCACGCTGCAAAATTCCTTCTGCAATAGTAACCGGTGCCACTGGTACTTATCACTCTCGCTTCATCCATTCCTGAATTAGCGAACCTTTGGCCTAATGTCGTCGAGTATTTTGGTGGCAGCGTCAAACGCAATCAGTTCGAGGGTGCACATAGTAGCGGTGGGGACATGTCGAGTACCATGGATATGGCGCCTGAACCTCCCATTAGTGTGGTAGCAAACGAGATTGGCATTCAGGGAACGCCGGTACTGCAGAAGAGTGTTGTGGAGCAGCAAAGTGATCTGGTCAAGTGGTCGCAACGTGCTGATGTCAAGGGTGCGTGGGAAAGCTTTGCCGAGCGCAAAGGCCTGGATAAGGAGATCTTCGACAAAGCGACTTGGGCTTTCCTGGGCTTCGTGTTGGGACGCAATTTCGATCTGGTGATTAGTATGAGTAAGGCGAGGGAGTGCGGTTGGACAGGATATAGGGATACGTGGGCGAGTTTGAAAGATGTGTTTGAGCAAATGAAGGGAGCCGGTGTCTTGCCAAAAGCTTAGCTAAGATGGTTGTTCGAACCACAGGTAAGATAAGAAGAATGACACAATGTGTATTACACATACTCTTATGATTTTTTGCATTGATGGGTATTATAGCGCCGTGGTTCTTCTTACCTTGCATGGATGATCTATCAGAATACAGCGCCTCCTATGATGAATACCCTCTCTTCTTCTCGTCGCACCCACTGAATGACTTTATTCGCACTCTGCGCCAGCGCAGCCCTCGATGTATTGGCCGGTGCAACAGCATATAGTTCAAACAGCGGTGTACTCCACGCCAACGCTATACATGTCGTGTTCGTCTCGTGATGCACCTTGAGCGTTGATGGCTTGTTGTGCACATTACTATGGAGTTTGCTGTAGAGGTTGATCAATCTAGACAAAAGATGAGTATTAGTAAGGAGTCTTGGTGATAGTACATGACGAAAACGAATCATGCCAAGCGGGATAGTGCCAGGGGAAAAGAATGGTAAGATCATGGATGCAAAGAGCCACATACCGTCTCCTTTCCAAGTCACCTTCAAAATACGGTGTGTAACTCGGCATGGTAAACTGCACGTTACCCCTTGACTTGTACAGAAAGTGTCTCAACGGACTCCCGGGCACGATATCCGTGCAAGTGGGACGCCCTTGCTGGACCGCTGTACGTATAGCCTCAATGGATCCATTGCGCTGCAAGTTCTGCGGAAATACCCGTTAGCCAAAAAATACATCTAACTAACTAGTGCGATTCTCTGTGCACCGCTCTACTCTCAGGTAATCCTAGTCGAACACGAACCAGACCAGCGGTACGGCCGAAAGGCCGAGGGGATGGGAGAACGGGGCGAAAGGTAGGGGAGACACGGAACCCGAGGCGGAGGTACGACAAGGAGCATCGGAGATGCTGACGTCCGAAGCCGAATAGCAACGGTGGTCCGTGAGCCTTGTACGGCAGATGTACAATACGGTATACGGGAATAATCCCATGAGAACCCATGAGAGAAGGCCGAAAAAATGAGGGAATTTACCCTCCGATTCCGTGCGAGCCCACATGGTTCGATGGCATAATCTCAAGGCACGGGACAACGTCGTGGGACGGCACGGAGAGACCACTTGACCAACGATCCACGCGTCCTGATGTACCATCCCGGTATCCTGGACATTAAGGAGACTTTGTAAAGGAGTGTAAGGAAACCGGGTGAGCCTACCTCGACTAAATCATCCCTCATACGTCTAAGCTCGAAGAAGCTTTCCTTCTCCGCACTAATCAGGAGGACCGCGACCTCATCGTCCGCGCCGTCGCTCGTGCGAGGTCGCTCTTGCATCTGCTCCGTTGGGTGTTCTAGGTTGAGGAAGCTGACGTACATGTACAAGTAACCGGTGTTGTTGAAGCCTGGTAAGCATAGTGGGATCCAGTTTTCTCCACCCCCAGCCTTGACGCTGCCAGCTTCGAAGAGCATGTTGAAGATCAGGTGGAGGTCGCCGGGGTGTAGACTGTGTTTCTTGGGTCGGACAACGGACACGAGCTTCCCGGATGCTACCAAGAGACCGTAGAGCAAGTTATCGGAGCGGGTTTTCAAGAGGGTGTTGTTGATGGTGGTGCGGTGGGATTTGCGAAGCTTGAGACACTCGAGAGCGGAGAGCAATGTCGATGGTGAGCCTCTTGTGAAGCCATCTGCAAGCGCTGATAGTAGCGTCTCCGTGCCCTGCAGCGGTCTACGGAGATCGTAATTGGCGCGTGCAGCAAACATGCGCTCCATACTAGGAAGGGTAAGGGTGGACAGGATCTGCATGTAGAGTGCCTCCAGCTGCGACCGAAGCTGAGAGTCGCTCTCTGGAAGCCGTGTGATGGCGACCAGGTTGAGCGGGCCCTTTGACATGACGACGAAGCGTACATGTCCCGCTGTGAAACCTCTCAATGTATCGTTGGTGGATTGGTAGAAGGAGATGATGGTCTGTACGACGCCGATGTAGTTTGTGATGAGCTGGTCGTCGCCGTGTCGGCTATATATAGGTTTGCCGGCACTCGAAAGGATGAGGAAATGCTTGAGCTTTGCGCGCCACTGGTGCATCACGGCTTCTATTGACTACATCAGTAAGAGCTACATCTAGGTACATGCCATGCGTCTGACCTTCGTTCGATCCGTCCATAGCCATGTCGTCAACGTCGTCAAACTCGCGATGGAAAGCTGCCTCGAAATACGGATCTGGGGGAAACATGCTCTGCGCTTCGGTATCGACGAATTTGTGACCCAATGTCCTGAGCAGCGACTTCTCTTGCTCCGACTTTTCAACCTGGCCCATGACTTCGCCCAGTATGCTCTCCTGGTACCCTGCTGCCTCTATCGTCGGCGCATAACTGCGTATGCTCGCGCTGTCGTCGGCGTCGCTGAGGTTATGAGAGCCTAGGTTTGCGCCCAGGACGTCGCGCGGCTTGGGCCCAGAGGACGTTGGCGACTCATCTTTGGCGTCTGTGGCAAATGCCTGTGTTCTCGCCACGGACAGCTGTGTGGTGGCTTTGGAAAGGAGCTGTGGTCTCCCGGGCGCTGTAGAGTGCGACGTCGAGGGTCGTGAAAGCAGACCGAGTCCGGGTCGTGGTGGCAGCGGCGGCGGGGCTTCTTCTTTTGACGCCAGCGAGCCTGTAGAGGTGCTGCGCGAGAAGCTTCGTATTATACTGAGCGTCGGATTGGCAAAGTCCTGCTGCTCAATCGGCTCCCCTGTCATCGACTTGGCCGAACCATTGCTGCTCTTCTGCGTCGGCGTCGTGGGCGAGCTGGGCCCCTCAGAGATCGGCGTCTGGGGCTCAGCGTTCCCAGTCTCGGCCATCAAGACAGCGGGCGAGGGTCATCCACACAGCGGATTGTTGTTTGTTATGACATGGCGCGTCAACAGAGGCGTGCATGTCGCGAAGCTCGGTGATCGTGACGCTTACCCAGGTGATCCATCACGCATGGACCAATGACGTTGCTGCGCTGTCATCGACACCGGATGATCGACTCGAGGGTTGTCTGACTACTATTCCGCCTCTAGAGACACCTCTGCATAAACAAAATGCGCGGAAGTGCACTATCCGTGCCAGACCGTCACCTCATACATATGCTTGTTGTTCACCGGACCCCACAAATAGCTCCTATATGCATGTCTCACCCGCCATGCCCATTTCTGAGCTCTGATGTACTTTACCGACAACACCACCACCACCACCATCGCTGACCTACCCCACACTTGTCTTTGGTTTCCTCTCGCCGTCTCGTACTCAGCTGTGTCAACGCGTTCGCCTATTCTTAGTCAGACTCTCCTACAGCGTGCTTGGTATTTCCGGCGTAGTGAGAATAGCGGTATGCATTATGACCTATTAACAGCCTCGTGTTTGGGCGATTTGACGAAAAAGTAAGGAAGTGAACCGAATTCAACCACCACCTCCCTTGCTTCCCTTCTTTTGACTTGGACGGCAACATCGTGTTGCAGTAAGGAAGTCTTGAGTTCAGTCGGAACTTGTAGTATCCAATCACCACGCATCTGAGATCAGGAGCCTTTCCTCAAGCCGATGCTATGTACCAAAGCCCAATCCAATCAATGCCACATCCCTCAACACCAGATGATGTAACGACGTTCAACTACACTCTGGATTGGCCTTATCTTGAGAATCCCAGTAACACCACTTTCGTCGGACACACCCAGATCGATATTTGCCGTTGTCCAAGATACAATCTCCTTTCGCAAGACGAAAACGAGCCAGGCCACATCTACACCCGCTATAGTTGTGCAGGCCCTGAGCTCCGCTTTAAAACAGGAGATGAAGGGCTATGGGTATTACAAGCAACTCACGGGCCAATCAATATGCTAAGGCCTGCGACAAAAGAGGAGAAGGACCGACGGGATGAGATTCACGACGATGCGGAGCCGATAGCGTATGGAAGTCGGAACTTTCTTTTCCTAACAGGCCCTTGCCCGCGCGGACGGTACCAGGCATATGCTACACACAAGTGGTTGGAGAGCATCAGCGTATCAGCCCGCCAACATGTCTCATGTCTATCCCTTCTAGTCCAGCCCTACGAAGAAGACGCTTCCGACGCTGCGACTAGGAGAGCATACTCGGAGCTAAGCGGATACATCTTGCAACACTTGCCAGGATTCAAGATGCTGCACCTCAACATCTGGGATGATGAGATGAAACTTTACAGTGCGGCGAGCGAGTTCAGTGTCCTTCTACACAGAGAAGATGTCACTATTGCCGTTCGATGCAACCGGTGGAATGAAGGGACTAGAGAATACAATGATTCTAGGATGTTCTTGGAAGATATGAGTGCGGTACCGCACAGAACACGGTCAGAGACGTTCATTGAGGAAATTCAAGACGATAAGACTCAAGAAGACAATTTGGGTAAACAAGACGATACTCATGATGCTCTACATAAAGATCTTGGCACGGCAGGAAATAAGTCAACGAGTGATGATGAGTTTCACAAGGCGTCTCCTTCCTCTCAGGTCGACAAATCCGATACCGAACTTGGGGATGAATCTGAAGATGATTGGACCGACGCCGCGATGAGTCCTATGGACACCGACAAAGACTGGCAGATACTATAGGAATGACATCTGCATCACGCGAATCAGAGTACTCATACAAGACGCCGAACACATGCTCGCTGGACGCTATTTTCATCACTCTGCTCACTCTGTTCAATGCAAACCTGATGGGTATGTCGCTGATAGAAGTGACTTGAACTCGCGCATCCTTAATTCAAGACGTGAGCCTGAACATTGGATGGTCATCACCCAAATTATCGGCATCTACCTCCTGCAGCCTCCCATCCCGCTCACCCCTCTCCCTCTTCGCATTTTCCCACTTTACCATGAAGAAAAGTGCCGTGCAAGCAGCACCACAAATCCACAACATACCCAGGCTAACTCCGTATCCTGTCGGATATGTCGGCATTTCACTCTGCAAAAAGATGTTGCTCGCCACGATGCCTCCTAGGTTTCCGAACCCAACTTGCATCGCAGAACTGACGGATCGCTTGTAGTGTCCAGATACAAGGTTGGACATCCAAACGAGTACAACAGGCTGAGTGATGTAACCACCCGGTACAATGAGAAAGAGGGCAAAGTACTTGACGCCAGCTGAGAGGTTGTCTTGCGCAAGAAGCATGATGTACCCAATCGATGCGACGATGAGACCGAAGATACAGAACCAGTAGCGATGGCGGAGGCGATCGGTCAGCCATGCCGTGATGACCGCAGTGATAGTTGCTACCACAAAGATGGGAATCGACCGTACCTGGGCGGCGGCGGAGGTGTAGCCGAGTTCTTTGACGATTGTTGGGGTGAAGAAAGATCCAGCATAGCCAGTATTCACGATTCCTTGCACGTGGGGGTGTATGGTCAGCATGTGTCTGAAAAAGAAGATGGAGAGGACAACAAAGGTTCTTACCGAAGTATGCAGCTGTTCCCAGGTAAATTTTAGGGTCGGAAAATATCCTCTTCGCTGCTCTCTTGTCAAGCCTGTTCATCACAGCATCACCGGTATCAGCACTGAGTCGTGCTATGAGAAGGGCTCTCTCTTCCTCGTTGAGGAACTTTGCCTGTTCGGGCCAGTCTGTGACCCAGAACTTTGTAACAACACCAGCCACAACTGTGATGATACCTTCTATGATGAAAATCCACCGCCTAGATCGTTGGTTTGTAGAGTTAGTGTCTGTCCCGCATGTATTTGGTAGATTTGGGTTCTTACCATCCTCCATAACCTGCAATGCCGTCCATCTTAGCAATAGCAAATGCAAGGAGCTGGGGAAAGTCAGTCTGAGCCACAAGGTGACGCGGGAATACTTACACCTCCAAAGGCGCCAGCGATGATGCTTGCAGTAAAGAACAGTGTGAGGCGCCATTGTAGCTCATAACGCTTGTAGTACATTGATATGAGGTACACACAACCTATGCGAAATTAGTCTTGAAGCTCACGTCTTAATGTACATCTATTACGCACCAGGAAACAATCCTGCCTCAAAGAAGCCTAGCAAAACGCGCATGGCTACCAAGCCTTCAAAATTGTTCACGAGTCCCATCCCGATGGTTGAGAGGCCTGATAATCATTAGTATGGCACACATACGAAGATAATCAGAACTCACCCCAGAGTACCATGATCAAGCTGAGCCATGTTGAAGGCTTGAGCTTCTTCAAGACCAAGTTTGACGGCACCTCGAAGAGGATGTAGGGAACGAAGAATATGAATAAAGCGATATTGTAGCGATAAGCCAGCGGTCCTGTCATGTCCAGGTCTTCTACTAGTCCTTGTATCTTCGCATTGCCTAGGCACGTTAGTGCAGTGAACACACTACTAGAAATGGATGAGTGTACCGATGTTGACACGATCCAGAAACGCTAAGAGGAACAGGACAAAGAGGGGCGGAAGAACGCGAAGGTCGCACTTGAGAAGTAGCTTCTTCTCAGCGATTGGGTCTATGTTATTTCCATGGGTATCGTTGATGATCTCGATCTTATTGTCTGGCAAACTCGATGGTTTCTCCGCCGGATTCGCCATGGTTGATTTGGTAGAGGACGCGGCGCTTGCTAAGACTTGGGTTGCAGGATAAATAGTAGTAATGCTTGTGTGACAGGCGCTTTGTAGCTGCATGCAATTCCTCTTACATCAGTAAGGGTGGACGAAACTTGATGGTTGCAGCCAATCAGATGAGGTCGCCTTTCGCCGACTTGCACACCCGGTGAACGGTTACGCTTCCGCTTTGCGGGGAAGAAGCAAGCCAAGTGATGGAACAGTGCCGCACGTTTTCCGCTGATCGTCAAAGGACAAGCCATGATACGTCAAAGTGGTGACTAGCTTTGCATGACTTGAAATGTTGGTAGGGCAAAGCGACAAAGGAAACAGTAGTGCCGCAGCCGAGACAGCGCGTATGAAGGAGCTCTTTTTATTGAATTGACCCAACACTTATGTCAACCATACATTTTAGTATACTCTAGAAGTATACGCAGTGTTTTGCACCAACATAGTAGAACACATAACGTATTGGATACCTTTAGTGTGTAGTATGGTCGGGGGCCGACTCTATAGAGTTGAGCCTATGCATACGACAGGTGCGATACGTCGGGACTGCACTCTGGGTGTTTTCGCAATACACGGCTCTTCCACAGTGTTCCGAGATGTGGTCTACGATATGTCCGGATGCCATGGGTTGGGTAGAAGATAGTGACGAAGAATTTACGAACAAGGACGGCACTAGGCGATGAAGATGGATGGCATACGCCAATTTGGATAGACAGAACGTAGACGTCAACACTACATCCATGAACATACTTATACAGCCTGATAGGTTTTTAAGAACCCGACTTGTTCATGAGACCACCTTACGAGATAGGCGAGTGTCTGCTAGTCACGGCATCGTTTCCGTGGTGCTCGCTGAAGTAGGAGGTGATGCGACGACAACGCGAGGCCCGCGCGAGTGATGTTATGGCCACCACTCCATGAAATATGTGTAATCGCTTTGTAGATACTAGTAGGAAGCGTTGATCATAGCTTGGATGAAGCGATGATGATGGTGATGGTGATGGCGCGAGATGTGCAAAGCCAGGGCCAGGGATTATGCACCAAGACGCACTAGCGCCAGTAACTACTCGCTTACTGGTGACCACAGACAGAGCGCAAATTCGACCAGTTCCGACATCAGCTCTTCGACAATACCACAAAGCCAAATCGACAACAACAACCGTCGCCATGGCCAGTACGTCTACAAGAACTCACTTGTTACTGCCAAGATGTTAATGCAGCTGTGCAGAATCCAAGAACTCGTCCCAGCACAACCAGTCCAAGAAGAACCACCGAAACGGGTACGCATCACCCTCCTCCATCGCACGCGCCATGAATCCGCGGATAGTCCATCTACAACGCGAAGGATCGTGAATGCGTTGTTGAGAACCAAAAGCTGATACAATGGCAATGCAGTATCAAGAAGCCCAAGACCCACCGTTACCCCTCGCTCAAGGGAACCGACCCCAAGTTCAGGAGGAACCACAGGCATGCTCTTCACGGCACCATGCGCGCTTTGGTGCGTACCGACGGCTCACTCCTACACGGAAACGCGGCTCGCTAACAACCATACAGAAGGAGGTCAAGGAGGGCAAGCGCGACGCGGCATAAAGGACGATACGATTACGAGCGAGCGACGATGGCGGTTTTCGATTCCTTTATGAGACATCTGGTCGGCGTCAATGGCATTCGGACTTTCTATGACAGCTTCGAACTCAAGGGATTGGAGCACGCGGCTTCACGCCTACCGCAGGCATGAAATGTGGCAATGAAATAAGTCGAAAAGTCAGGTCGGTTCCACCAGCGCGCGACTGTCCAAGTGATGTGTTAGGCTGTTTGACCGTTCGCAACGTCTTCAGGTAAGTGAGAGACATGATCAACGAGGCACCAACCTCAACCCATCCATTAGTGTGTACAGCAACAGAGCTCTCCCATGCTCGACCTGCTGAAGGAATATCTATCGTGGCAAGAACAATCATCCCCATCATTACCAAACACACGACCTTTTACCCCGTAAGGTACGTGTGCATGAAGATGGGGTTACATACCAACTGTTGAATCAGAGTTTTGGGACTTTCGGTGCATCTCTTAGGGAGCTTGTGCAGATAGTATCTCGCAAAATAGTATACATTCAGTTGTATCGCAATGAATAACATTTTACTCTCCAGATTGTGCATCTCCTTTTGTTCATTTCAGATGATGACGCCTTCCCAAGGTACCATTTGCCGGATCGGCGGGGTTATCTCTGGCGCCTCACCACCTCCATCACATTGCTCCCTCTCTCTCTCTGGTAACTACGTCGGCCCTCCGGAGTTGGTGCGACAGCGTGCACAACTGCCATATATCGACAGACAATCGTCACGCTCTTGGAATCTCTCCGCGGAGGCAAGTCGGCCGAGACGTTCCGGTTCCTGACGTTACTGCACAGCCCTGCCGCAACCCGACCCGATCAGCTAGCAGCCCTACACCCCGGATTCAGCCGTCATACTTCTTTCCTATCTTGTGTTGCAAAAGGCCATATTTCCAATCCTTCTTTCTCCACTATCTAGCCCTCCCCGATCGTGCGTCCAGCCAGACCTTCAAACCCCCGCCTATTCGCTCTCATCGAACGTCAGCCTCGGTCCTTCCAACACCCCACCATGGCTACACAAGCGCACTGCGCATATTGTTTCGAAAGCCTCGTCGCAAGCCTCGAGAAGCGCCCTTCTCTCACTCTAGCCCAAGTCGAACACCTCTGGGCGAAATATAACTCGGAACCCACCACAACCTCTGAGCTCGAAGATGAGACCGAAGCAGAACAAGCAGAACAAGCCGCACTTGCATCCGCGTCTGCGTCCGTATCAGCAGATGGCTCATACAAACCCGCCGCTATATCGCGTATCCTAGCCTCCCCTCCCTCGTCAGCTAGCTCCTCAAGCCTGCAAAGCGCAAGTTCGACGCCCAGTGGCCCGAGCAGCGAGACACCAAGCAGTCTTACAAGCCAGAGCAGCAGTTCTACAAACTTGATTGACAAAGAAGGCGAGGAAGAGGAGGAAGAGCATCCGTTATTCATAACGTGGAACACAATCTCACGTTCTGGCGACAAGCGACTCCGGGGCTGTATCGGGACCTTTGAAGCACAACCACTCACCAAAGGTCTCTCTGACTACGCGCTGACGGCCGCATTCGACGATACGCGTTTCTCGCCTATTACCACACGCGAATTGCCAACCCTCGAATGCGCTGTCACTCTCCTCACGGATTTTGAGCCTGTTGACGATGCCATGGATTGGGAAATTGGCAAACATGGCTTGCGGATCAGTTTCCACGAAAAGGGTAGACGCTACGGGAGTACGTATCTGCCTGATGTTGCGAGCGAACAAGGGTGGACCAAGGAAGAAGCGCTGGTTAGTCTAATGAGGAAGGCTGGATGGAGTGGCAAGAAGGCGGATTGGAACAAGGTTTCGTTGAGGGTTGTGAGGTACCAGGGGAAGAAGGTGGGGCTGGGCTGGGGCGAGTGGAGGAGTTGGAGAGATTGGGTTGATGAGGAGATGGCTGATGTTTAGGGTGTGAGCAGGTGAGAAGTCAAGATACCCCTTTTGAGGGAGTGCTCTAAGGCCTCTCTAAGAACCACAGAAGTATACGGTTGCATCATGATTAACGATGATAATGGATAGCGATGGCGCTACAAGAGGGATACATGTCGACGGGCTTTGAAAGACAAGAAAGTTCGATACCCTAAGGCAATGAATAACGAATCCTTTTACCCCAAGATCACCCTCTTCCAATGACTGCAAATAATCTGTTCGAAACGCCGTCGTATCTCGTCCCCAAGTATATACAAAAGAAGTTGTATACTCGATCATGATAAAATGCATTTTTGCACCCAACTACTACTTCTTCTTCATCCAAGGATGGTTGCGTCATGGTATCACTCTATCAGACAGTATTCCCTACGACCAAATCCGGAATTATAGCCTCATTTTACAACAACCTCATCTGCGGGAAAAAATACGTCTACATGACGTACAGCAAATCGGTATCTATTTCAATCAGTTTGCCATTCCCGTTCATAGCGAGGTATGGGAAAGAACTCACTCAATGGATGACTGCAGCTCAATTGAGGCTTTTGGTCATATTTGCCCTGCAGCTCATCACGGATGCTGTTGAGCAGTTGTACATAGCTTTGGTTAGGATTCTTGCGGAGCGAAGAGATGAAAGCCCAAGACATGGCTCCCGTAGCTTCTCCACCAATACTTGCGTCGGCCCTGTAAAGTGTCCAGCATTAGTATTGCCTGCATCAAATCTAGAGGTGGGTTGGGGAGAGACTTACGAAGTCTGCGTATCCTTGGAGCCACTCCACATGATTACGTCGGCAGGGCTAGTTTTCGTTCTTAGGTTCTTCTTGTGCACTTCATCTCCATTCATTGCCTTCTTAAACAGACTTGTGGCACCACCAATCATGCTGCCAATGTCGCCACGCGCATAGCTCGCCACGATGCCCAGCAGACCCTGACCAGCTTCCTTGGCCAAGTTGGGCTCCTTGAGCACACCCTGGGTGGAGTAGAGGTAAGGCAGGTCAAGGGCGGAGCCGGAATGACAAGAATCGAAGATGGCGGTGAGTCGTACACCGGGCTGGAGGGGTGTGACCATGATACGGTGCATCTCGTCGTCGACAATGTGACCGGCCGTGCGGAAATCCACTGGATAGATGACCTCGTCGTAGCCATCATCTTCGTCGCCGTCGAGATCCTTGGTTTGACCGCCGTGGCCTAGTGTGGGTTAGCATGGCTGAAAGCAGCACGGTATAAAAGCAGAGGCGCACCTGAGTAGTGGAAGAACAAAGAGTCGTTTGGCCTTGCGTCTTTGACCAGCCAATGCATCGCTCTCAAGATGTTGGCTTTAGTCGGCTGGCTCATGGGGTTCTGCTGATCGTCGGTCAACGTGACCATGTCCTCCCGCTTGTAGCCAAAGAACTCGTTCAAGTATGTGCTCATGTTCTTCACATCGTTGATGCAGCCGCGAAGCTGTCCTCGTTGGCCGAAGTAGTTGATACCGATCAGGAGGGCTTTCCGTCGACCGTTGCATGCCGAGTATTGAAACGAATAGCCGTTGGGTGCGCCGTGGCCGAAGTTCTGTGCGCCCGAGGGCGGTGGTGGGGGCGCGTTGTGGTTTCCATGTGTCCATTGATTGCTGTTGGCTGTAGGCATCATGCCTGGACGGGGAGGTTGTTGCGGAGGCGGTGGGCCGTAGTTGCCATACTGCTGTGGTGGTGGTGGTCCCTGTGCAAATCAGCCTCTACTCCAGCCATGGTTTCCCTGTCAGCATGCCATATGCGTACCTGATTGTATCCATACTGCTGCGGAGGCGGCGTAGGTTGACCATAGTTGTTGTTGTAGGGTGGTTGTGGGCTCTGGTATCCATATTGCTGTGGGGGACTGGTATCCGTCAGCACCCGTGGAGCATTACTCGTCATTCTCTACTCACGGAGCACCGTAGTTCTGCTGTGGAGGCTGGTATCCTTGCGGAGGCGGGCCACCATAGCCATTCTGAGGCGGTGGAGGGGCGCCGTAGCCACCGCCACCGTGGTATTGCTGGCCGGGATAGTAGGACATGTCGAGTTACAGTGTGCGATTGAGGTTGGGGCTTCTTGCAAAGTGCGCGCGTTCAGGCGGAGATGCCGAATAGCCGTGAACGATGGGAGATCAAATGCCCGTTTGGGAGCGCGCTCTTCACTGCTTCAAATAAGACGTGAAAGAAAGCGGTCGTCAGTCCTGTAGTAGAGTGCGGCTGACGGTGCGTCGGTAACGTCGAGAGATGCGGTAGTAGCGCGGGGTTTGGCTGGTAAGGATGGCTAAGGCTGAGCTCTGACAAAGCTACCGATGATGCATCCAAGCTTCCAAACCCGTGGGCCTCTTCAAATCTCACTCAACTCCAGATGTCTGAGTAGACAAGACCGATTTCGACAATAGGCAACAAGGCTGAGGGTCTCTGGGAGCAGTAGGGAATCCAGACAATTTAGGGGCGTGCACGATGGAAATAAGTCGCTACGGAGATGAAAGAAAACGGAAAAGGCCTGTCAAGGCAGTCTGGCTGGTGGGCCCAAGGCACGACAAGTCCCCAGTGCCGCATCTCTCGTCGCAGTAGCCCTCCCATTCGTCAAACAGTCCGTCATGCCCAATTCGTCCCTCCTCTTTCCGTCGAAGCCTCTTTCTGCCATTCGTGACATGGGGTCGCGTGGGATGCCACGATGCCAGCGAGCTACAAGGCTAGTTAGCTCGTCCGGTCTCGTACGCGAGACGGCAACACCGACGATCCCTAGGGCCAGGGTGGGTCCAACTAGGGGCAGATCTGTTTCCTTGGACCTGGGCTCGACTAATGCTGTTGTACGGCATCTGTTCTGGATATGGGAGGGATTGCAATACTTTGGGCGACATTCGGTCATGATATTCTTGCTTTTGCAACTCTAATTAGTATCTATACTTCTGCATTCCTATGTGCTTACCCATCGCAAAGTCTCTCATATCATTTCCTTCCAAATCCTCCAACATAGGTACTCTGCCATGCCAGTCCATCTCCGAAACCAACCCATTGGCCCTTACTTCAGCCATCTACCATTTACCCTGCCCCTAGCCACATCTCCTACACAGCATCATGCGCCCCGCCGAATGCGGCCTGTAACGCGATAGGCATACAACACCACTTGGCTACATGCTGTGCCATCAGCCTCTTCTCAATCCGTCCTGTCACCGTCTACGCGATCCCACCTTTGCGTAGTGGCAAGCAGCCTTTTGGGCACTCTTCCATCCAGTTCAGGTCCTTACACCAAAGCACACCAAAGCGCTGGCTGCTGCACCCTGTCTTTAAAGGCTGGCGCTAGGACAATCTAGCCCCTCGTGTGGCTTGCGCAGAACGCTGCACGCCAACGGCGAGGACCGAATGGTATTTTGGCTCGAGACACAATGATTGGGAGAAGAGTAGATACTACGAATGTGTTCGGCGTAACGCTGCTGCGCTTTTGTCGCGCGCTGTTGTTCTAGCTGCAGTAGTAGTTCGAAATGGGCGCAATGAGCTTCTTGAATAGCATCATTGATGTTGTGGTGGTGGCTATGGGAGTTACATTGAATAGTAAGCTACAGCACTCTGAGCTATCGTCGCCATATGCGTTGTTCAAGACTAGGGTATGTAGAGTGGCTGAGGGCGATGTAACGAGATGCCGTTCGTCAATCGGTGTATACGCATGCAAGCTGTGCGACAAACCACGTGCGTTTACTCCCAGCTGTCATGTATGCTACGTTAACACACCAGAAATAGACACGCATAACCATGTCAAGAAAGCTAAGGAACAGGCGCTAGTATCGAAAGTATGCTATTCGAAAACGTGGGGTATAATGTCTGAACAGTTGCTTCTTCATCGTGCTCTTCCACCCTTTCTAATGGATAACCGCAAAGAACCAAGCTCCATCCCATAAAAACCATAATGCATCATCAATCTTCCCGAGCTTGATAATGGCTGAGAGCGAATATAATCGTACACAAAGTACCGTCCCATACAAAATGACTTTCGCGGTTGATCGTCTTGTTCGTTGGAATGAAGCAGTAACATACTAAACTGAATAGGTGATAGGAAAGAAAAAGAAACTGCTCAAGACGCCGAACGTACAGAAATCGTACATATTACAATAGGTATAACAAGATGTCAGGCCACCGAGTGCGGCCGCTGTCTCAAACTCGGCTTTGACGAATGAAGCAGTTGCAAACGCCGTATCGTGCGCCTCAGAGGAGTAACTATTCGTAACAAAGAAATCAATCGTCAGTATATGCCAGAATCAGAAAGGCAGCGATCAGGGATGTAAAAGGAAAGCTGCTGGTAGAGCTGGGTTTGGCATAGTCTTGGATGGAGCAGGCTCGGAAGCTTCATTCGCACCATCATCTTCAGTGGCCTTCGGAGTAGCGACTGCTTCCTTTTCTGACTCCTCCATCTCTTGTTGTTCACGAGCTTCGCGCTCGGCATAAATCTTTTGCTTCTGCGCTTGTGCAGTTGCTAGAGTGTCAATATAGGTCCGGAATTTCACAATTTCCCTGAGAAGGTATTGCGATTTGCGCTCCCAGTTGGCCATGGCCTTCTGAGCATTGGGGTGTCGAGGCGAAAACTGATATTGTGTATCAGTCATGATCATGGGAAAGCGGGAAGGTGATACTTACGGCAATGAGCAATGGCGCTCTGAGTTCGTTGTGGTGAGCGAGCTCGGTCTCAATGTTCTTAACATAGTCGGTAAGAGCTCTAAGCTGATCCACTTCCATCAGGGTACTAGCCATCATGCTTGATGCTGGTGGGCTCCAATCCGATAAGACGACCTTGTCTCCGGGAAGTCTGGGCTTTGGTGTGCCGGTGGCATGGTCCATCGAACTACGAAGGGAGCTTGTGACACTCGGACGGGGCATATGGCCTTGCACTGATGGCGCACTGTCTTGACGGATCAGAGCTGGGTTAATGACATTCTCACCCCAACCGTACTCCATGCTGCTGACACCACCCATGAGAGGTTCTTTGGACAGACGAGCC